ACATTCTCAGGGCCTTTACAGGAGCTCGTTGGAATAAGCATGGCCCTTTTTATATCACTCCAACTCTGTCCTGTGTTAACCCAAGCCCTGCCTCTCACTGCTAAATTCAGTTTACTAGTCATGAGGAGGTGTGCTACTCTACAAACAACAAAACACTTCTGTGGTTCAAGAGGGAGCTTTCTAATGTCTTGGAAAATGACTTTACCAGGGCTTAATGGAAGATGCTATTGAGTTCATCATGGGACATGAAGGATCTATTGTTTATCAGAGCTTGACGCATACTAGAGAGTAAACGTCGAGACATCTCAGCCTCTGCTATTTTGATCATTTCTGTTTTTTGTGTCTCTGAAGTTGGCAAACTCTCTGGCAGTGCCACACTAAATCACTGGAATACCCCTTTACTATCAATAACAAGAAGTCTCTATGGATTTCTACTTAGCAAGTCTCCTTCTTTAATTAACACAGTTACAGACCATGAGGCTATAAGATTGTACAGTATGTTGACTAAATGTTTATTTCACGGGGCATTCAGATTGGTCTTAGAGGAAAATTTTGGGTTGCAACTTGGCTCTTTGTTTTAGAGGTTTGGCTATCATTCTACTCTCCAAGAGGGATTGCTGAGATCAGAGGCAACTTGGCAACATCACTTAGCAACTTGGTCCGAAAAGGCAAGAAACATGAGTGGACAGTCAGTCAGACAAGTTGAAAACAAGACAGCAGTTTAGCTGGATATTTAAAGCACTTTATTTGGAGGTAATCGGAAGTCAGACTGTAAACTGATGGATGTTTCAAACAGACAATTTGACTTTGGCTGTATGATCCTCTTATCGCTCTAGTTTCTTTCCTTGTCATACTTCTTTTTAGCAATGTCACTTACATCTCTGCAATTAACTTGATATGTACCATGTTAATATGTATACATAGGAATGATGATGAAGAACTAATTTGTATGAAACAGCAAATACCCTTTAGTATAAGAACGGTGTGTGTGTGTGTGTGTGTGTGTGTGTGTGTGTGTGTGTGTGTGTGTGTGTTTATCCCCACTGTGTTTCCTTGCTTTGATTACACCCTTAGGGCCCTGTCCTGTCCCTACTGCAGGATGCCACCCCCTGGGTCTCTGTCAACAAATGCTTCCTAACACAACACACAAACACACACACACACACAAACACACACACACACACACACACACACACACACACGCACACACATTACATAAAAATTCATCATGCACACATGTAGACACAAAGAGCATCAAACTATCACCCAAAATATATTTCAACATATTGTAAAATATACTGTATAACCTCCATATTCAACATTTTCACACTTAAATTCATCAAAATAATGGATTCTAGAGGCCAAAACAGGATGCAAGCAAACACAACCCACCCACATTCCAGCTCAGGTCCTTAATATAGGTTCTGGCTGACTAACAGGCTCCCTATTAAACAAACACACACATTCTCCCTCTAGCCTCTCTTCTTCTTTCAGGTCTACCACAAGTGGAATCCACCTTCCTAAAGAAAACAGGAAACAACAGACGAGTCACCCGAGTAGCTAGGCTGAGGCAGCGATTCCTTCAGGGGCCTCATCCTGACACACACAAACCCATCAGGAGGAAGCTGCATCATGCTCAAACTTCCCTGTCTGTGCTGCTAGCATGTGCATGTCGTACGGTGTCACAGCCAGGGTGATGAATCCATGCAGACAGGTGCTTAGATCAGCCAGGCAACAGGAACACAAAACCTCCCACTGAGCTGCCACTGCGCCATTCCCCCGCCAGAACCCCAACAGAAATCAACACGTTTCAGTGGACAGCGGCCTTTGATGTGTTTTATGCGCCTCTGGTTTATGTGAACGTGACTAAAGGAACTTTCAGCCTTGTCTGCTGTTCACAGTGGGGGCAGTCAGTTTACAGCAGAGGTGATTTTGAAGCCAAGAAATGAGCAACCCTTAGAAAATGCCATCACTTGTTCTATGTAGAACTTGAATATGGGTTTTTGGAAGCTGAGATAGCAAGTGTTTTCTGCTGATAGTAACTTTAAGTTTGACTGTTTTCCTCACAAAAAAGTAGGCTTGTCAGCCATGTTATCGGTGTGGCTATGGCAGTGTCGGTTATTCAGTCCAGCTCTTTAGTCCAGACTGAAATATCTCACCAAGTATTGGATAGTTTATTACATTACAGGCACTCGTGGCCTCTGGAGGATGTATTTCCTCTTGACTTGTCATTTATTGCCACCATTTTTGGTTTTCAGTAAAATGTCTCAGCAACTATTGGATGGATGGCCATGATATTTGGAGTAGATATTCATGTTCCCCTCAAGATAAACTAAAGTGACTAAAATCCCTTTGGTGATCCTTTGATCCCTTCATATAGCGCTACCATCATGTCAAAATGTAAATGTGTCCGGTGCTTTCTGGTGATTTATGACCAAATACCAGCAAAACTAATGACATTCCAATCTTTGTGCTTTGTGTTTAGTTAAACCTAGCAAATGTTTGCATGCTACTATGCCAGGCTAGGATGGCAAACATGGTAAACATTACCTGATAAGCAGGTCACTGTGAACATGTTAACATGCTGATGTTAGCATTCAGCTCAAAGCACTGCAGTGTCAAAGCACAGAAAGCTACTAGTGTGGCTGTAGACTCTCAGTCTTGTTTTCTTGTAAGGATGGAAAATCTAGCTGTGTTAGTTTGTGCTTACATGTTAGATTATGTTCCATTTTTGGACAAAATACCAGGGTTCATTATACTCAGTGTCAAATCTCTTTCTTGATCAGTTATCTCTTGTCTTCTATTTATTAGCAAAGCACAATGTACAAAAAATTGAGATAATAATTTTAATAGTAGCATTTATGTAATATATCTGCCAACATTTTAATTTTAATTACAGACTATCAATTTTTGAGCTTATTTGTTAAACATTAGTTGTATGATATGTATGATTCAACCCTAGTGCTGTTGCAAACTATTGCTGCACAATTATGTTGAATCTGATCAAAAATATTGTGTAAAGTACAGTTTAATGACTTTCTTTTATAACTACCTCACAATAAATACTATGTAGTCAATAAAACAGCATCCTATACCCATCCAATTAGAGGTGATCATTTCCTTGACTTATCAGGAAAGCACCATAACAACAAAGCACTAAGCTGAACTTCCTGTCTCAGCAGCGTCACTCACGTTGATGACGAGCGTCAGTGGCTCTCCTGGGTGGTGTTTAATCAGCTTCTCCTTGTTGGCAGTGAAGAACTGAGGGTCCTCCACGTACTCCAACAGGAAGTGACCTTTATGAGGCTCCCCCTCCTCTTCCTCTACCTCGCTGTCAGAAGAAAAGGGGCTGTCACCCGTGTAGAGGACTCCATTCAAGAAAAACTGCACTGAGGTCTGCTGCGACTGGCTAGATGCATGGGAGGGGCAGGTGATCATGGAGGGGGAGACCACTGTGCAGTGCTGAAGAAGGAATAAAGAGGAGAAGGAAAGCTTATAATGCATTTTCCATCCACCCATCAAATGGTTAATGACATGATCTACCTGCAACATAATAATAAACTATACATTTTTCCCCAGAGAGAGTCAGTTGAGAACTTGTAGTTTTATGAGGGGTTATTTGCAAGGCAATTTCTTGGCCAGGTGCAGTGACTTCCTGACACTTTGGGTACATTTATTTACTTCTGTTTCCTTTAGACAGAGCCAGGTTAGCTGTTATCCCAGATTCAAGTCTTTATGCTAAGCTAAGCTAACCAGAGCTAGCTTCATGTTTAACTGACAGATATTGGAGCGGTATTGATCTTCTCATCTACTGTAACTCTCGAAAATTAATTAGTGTAATTCCCTAAATGTCAAACTAGCTTTTTAGGTTGGTAGAAGTGTGCTGACTTCATGACATGATTAAAAACCTTTAAAAATAGATAAAAAAAGGAATCATTTCAGCTGATTACTCACTGTTTGTCCAATTCCCAGCACCTGCATCGTGACGCTCTGCACCAGATCAAAACCGCGGCCTGTCACTGTGATGGTCCTGCCACCACTGTAACACAGACACACACACAGACAGAGAGTCACATCTCAGCCATGATAACAATGTGCCAAATTCATACTTAGATGCAAATACGTTGAGACCCTGCACCACAGTAAGACAGAAACAGGGGACCAAATAATAATGCAAAACAGTCCAACTGCAGTGAAAATCCGCTCACATGTCATCAAAGACATGCTGCTACCCTGTCACACACGTGCTGCGCTATTTAGAAAACAATACGGAGAAATGCTGCACATCAGGACGGCATTACAATAACAGTTTATGTCAGTGACTCTGGGAGGGGAACCGCAGGGTCATCCAGCTTGAGATGTTTAAGACATTTTGGTTTTAATGCTTGTGGTGTGTGTAGCAGGTTACCTACCTGAGGTAGCTCTTTTTAGGGTGAATGAAGCTGATGGTGGGGTTCTTCTCATAAGTGTAGGTGGCGCTGAGCTCTGTGCTTTGACAGGGATTGTTTTCAAACTCCACACACACTGTCACTGAGTCAGTGTGTGCCTGTAAGGCTGGCGGCATGGTGCACTCAATGGTCTCATCTGTTTTCCTAAAAAATGAGGTAAACATCGTAACCGCATGTCCCGTGATGTCTACAAATGTTCAAACCCCAACGTTTCCACTTAAAATCAAAGTTATGTTTATAGCAGTTTGGCAGATTTTCATACAAACACTACACAATACACAAACTACGCAGAGCTGCTGAGCGTGCATATCCACATAACTTAAGTTCAAGTTCAAGACCTTTATTTGTCCCGAGGGGCGATTAGTTTTGCTGCAGTAGCAAAGAAGTTGTACATAACAACAAAGACGACAACATGGTGTCAGCTATGTAAAAATAACTATCAATACTATCAATGCAAGGAAAGCACCTTCATATGTTGTGTCACTTAATGGTCAACATTCAGATACATGAAGACTTTCTCTGACAGACTTGAGACCTGACCTGGACTTGAAGACTTAAAAAACAACTTTAGCTACAAGCAAGCACTCACTCGGTGATGATACATTCCAGTGTGTTGTTGACCATGACTCGGACCAGAGAGCCAATGTCCAGGTTTTCCCCCCTGATAGACACCCTAGTTCCTCCAGCTCGAGAGCCCTTCTTCGGCTCCATGGACAGCATCTTTGGGATCTGAATGCAGACGAGAGGCATCACATTTATCACCAGTGATCTGACAGCTTCTGTCACAAGAAAAGTCAGGCTCACTCAAAGCTGTGTTTGTGCTCTATGATGCTTCTCTTGACACCAAATAAAATATTTCCTCATCCTTTGAGGTTCATATATCTTGACAGCTGCTGACTATAACAGTAAATTAGTGAAGAAAACTGTGAAGACAGCCCATGCTGCAGTATGTTAAAGTGCTGCTGAAGCCAACAGGCCTTTGGGCCCAAGCTTGCAGGACAGCTATAGTGGTGGTAAGAAGCAATGATGTTCGTGCATACACGTGAAAGACTGCATGTACACACAGCCATATATTCACATACAAACAACACACAAAAGCTCCTCAGGCGAAGATGAATATCCCTGTCCAGCTCTGCAGCTACCAGCATCAGCATTCCTGCACTTCTCGAACTTTCTATCCCCGCTATGAACCTTGCCTCCAGGGAAGCCTCTTATCCTTACTGACAGGATTCACTTCCTCATCAGTGTGCACGGATGGAGGAGACCTATTGTGTGTTTGGGTGTCAGAGTGGGTGTAAGGAGGCAGATGTTTCCGTCTAAAGGTTCGAGGAAGGAGATGCAGTAGAGGCGCGTATCCTGTCTCCGAAACAGCTTTCCCTTTTTCGCACATCTTCCCCTGAACACCCTGCAGTAAAAACCCCTCTCACACTGAGCATCTCAGAGTGTGATAAGGAAGCCAGAGAAGAGTTCCCACAACGGCACAGTGTAATGTTTGTTGTTCTGGATTTTCCTCATCCTCATGTGTCAAGATGGGCTTCAAGATCAGGGTGATTTCTCTGTGGGATGACTCACAGGCAGAACCGCTCTTAGAAGTCACTGAGATGATAGACCGTTCCAGCACTGAATTATGAAAAACTCTTTTGTCTAAAAACAAAAAGACACAAAGGGCTTACATGGGTATTTCCACTGGATGAATACTCTAAATCCAATGGGAGACTGTGTGGGTTGAGGTCCATTAACACAATGCTGGCTGGCTCGACACGATCAGTGATGAATTCAGAGCAAAGGGACATTCCAACAATCGCCATATTTGTTTTTGCTGGCAGCGATTGCAGAATGACAATGGTGTTTAGTTGCAGCTCAGAAGAACGTTTGAAGATTCCCACACACTCACATTCCTCAGAATCATAAAACGCATCTGTTAACACTCAACTGACACACTTGGGAAGGATTTCCCAGCGGGGAACAAGGAACAAGAGAGCGTAGAAGAAGAATGTGGAGGGAGAGACAGATAGAATAGAAAGCAAAGATCAGCAGGAGGTTACGTGTCTGGAGAATACTCACTAAGTATGAGAAGCTCTCCTTTGACATCCCCATCTCACCCTCATCCACATGCACTTGAACAATATCTGTCCTCTCCTCATGTGCAGACCGTCCAGTGACACACACCAGCCTGGGGAATTTAAAAAGAGTGTGACCTCCTTGTTTTGTTGTCAAAACACCATAATCAGAGAGCATTTAATAAAAAGAAACAATGATTGTGGTTAGGAACGCTCAAAAAAGCTTATAACTTTAATGGAATCAACTCATTTAAAAAAAAAAAGGAGTTGCTCAACTGAAATTGCAAGCGAGGGGGAACCAATATAAAGATGAAGAAAGAGATCTTGATCACGATTGCTAAACAAAGACACATAATTAATCTTGGAGAATGGTGGTTATGAACTAATTCATCAAACCATATTACATTTACATATGGAATCCAATAAAGCCTCGAGAAATCTGATATCAGGAGATGTAAAGTTCAAAGCTCCTCAGACCAGATGTGTCTAACAACAGAGAAGATTAAAGGTCTGCTGAGGCTTGTTCTCTCGCCTCGTGGCTGTGATTAAGCCTTGTGTCATCAGTGTGCGCTCTACAGGGACGTCTCATATTAATGACACAGTGGTGTACCGAAGCACAGGGATCTACTGTTCTGGGGGCCTCACAGGGATAAATGTTCTGGGGGGTAACACAACCTTTATCACCTCACATGATCCCCCTTCCAGCATGACACCCTGTCGGTTTATTTAGTCAGGTGCCTCGTGCTACAGTGGTTATAAATTCTCAGCAAGTGATTGACAGAGGAATTGTGGGGATTTTACATAAGCGGAGGAGCTGTGTTTTATGTAGGAGGACCTGGCAGGACATACAGTAAGATGAGGCTGGGCTGGACAGATCTGGGTTTGGCTGGGGTCACGCTGTCAGGTCTGAGCCCAGGGAGAAAGCTGTTTCTGAGTTTTTAAATGTCAGGCCTTATACTACTCAAACAAATTTTGTTTTTTAACCGAACTCAAACAAGAACCACTGTAGATTTTAATGAGTCCAATTAAAACATGGATTGTCTTTATAAGACAGAATAGCTGTTAAAGATTCTTTAACCTGCAGTATCAGCCATCTTTTCATAGCAGGGTCTACATTTCTGCTCATTAATTACAGAAGCATCAGGAAAAAAAATGTTGTTGCACTCAGATTACAGTCCTGTCTGTTGCGTGTCATGAGGGCAGGAGCGCACCTGTTTGAAGAAAATGCATCATTTCACATGCTTTGATTTAGGGGGGGAAAAAAGGACAAACAAAATGAAACATGACTATTCACAGGCTGAAGCCCGAGGGAAATAAGAGAAATTAGAGCCCAAATCAGCCCAAACCTGTATGTTTGCTTCTGGATGGATTCAGGCTGAGAATCAAGCTGTTATCACAACACATAATATTATGTGATATCTGCTATTGAACCATAATGCTTGAGGATTTTTTGTGCAAAAAATACAAACATAAAACCAGTATTACAGAGTACAGACACAGGCTTGTCAGTAGATAGAAGGTATGATAAAATCAGCCTGAAGCAGTGCACACGTGTATCAGGCTTTCTGCAGGGTTTACCAAGTTTAATTTAAGACTTTTAAATCTTCTTAATAGCAAATAGACAATACATATATGGAAGTACGATGGAAACTCAGTAGGGATGGTATTTATCAATATATCACTTTTTTGGGTATTTCCCTATCGATCATCCTGACAATTATTTCCTGATCAATAGTTTGTTCTATAAAATCCAAGGACATCTTCAGATGTCCTGTTTTGTCCGACCAACAGTCCAAAACCGAATGGTATTCACTTTGCAATGATATAAAATAGAGAAAAAGAAAAATCCTCACATTAGAGAAGCTGAATCCAAATAATAGTTAGCTTAAAATGATTAATCAACTATCAAAATAGATGGCGATTCATTTTCTTTTGACTAATGGTTCTAACAAAAAAATCCTAATGACATAATGAATTAAGTGGCAGAAAATGGATAGATTAACCATTTGCACATCTATTGTAACAGCCTGATATTTGTTCATTTATTTGTTTATTTGGATCTGTGGCAGCTAAAAAAATGCTATCAAATATAAATACATAATAAATAGAAAAACGGAATCATGAAGACTTTTGCATATCTGCAGATACCCTGGTGTGTGTATATGTGTGTGTGAGCTGATTGTGATGTTGATACAGTGTAATCATAGTCAAAGGACACTGAGCCGACAGAGCCTGGACTGACCGCTGCTCCACATTCCAGCACCGCCCCACTGTGGGGATATTATGGGTTTCAGAGGGTGATATTTTGACTTGTTCTGAAGATGTCTCCAATCATTTCCCTTCAATGGATGATGAAGATGATCAACAATAAAGTGCGTGTGTGTGTGTGTGTGTGTGTGTGTGTGTGTGTGTGTGTGTGTGTTTGGATGTGAGTGCTGTCTGCAGTGCAGCTAAATGGACATGGCCAAGGCCATTCAAGGCTCATATTAAAATGATAGAGAGGGCAGCATGGAGGATCTGAGCCAAATATTCAGAGAATACTTCAGTAAATGAGGTGTGCCTAGACTGACTGTGCCATTAATTAAAATGTTGACACCCAGTGAGTGGAGTGCTGTCTCCACAATTCTGCACATTTTCCTTTTGGCACAGAGATGTGAACTTTCACCTCTCAGCGCATGAGTAGACACCTGTCTCAACAGCCCTGGTAAATGAGGTCACATGTGCAGGCGTGTGTGTGCGGTGGCGAGTGTGTTTGTATGGCATTTCTGCAAGAGCCACTTTGAATTTAGAGCTTCTGAATGAGAATATTTTTGTGAAACAGGGTTTTACATCTTCATCAAGAGGCTTTAGGGGTAAGGATATATTATATAAAAAGTAGGGATTGGCACATTAACAAGTTATTATCGCGTTATTATCGCCGTAACGCATTAATTAATTAACGGCAACAATTATTTTATCACACGTTAACACAGTTCTTATTTTATTATTATTAGTTTGAAAGTTCCTTGCTCACTGGCTCTGAATACACATACAGTCAAACCATGGGTCACAGGAGGGGCGGGATATTGATCAGCCTGCAAATCACCCACCCAAACAAGCAGTGGAAGGAGGCTTCGGCAGACTACGCTGTCATGTTTTTTCCATATTTTTCCACCGGCGATCTGTTATCATGGCAGCAGGTGACGCGCTCGCTTGTTAATGACGCAGCCTATCAAACAACTTAAACAGCCGAAACCAATATCTGCACCTTGTGTTCAATGTTGCTTTAAGATTACCTGGTCTGTGCTTGTAAAATATCCACCGCAACTTGTAACGTCATTTCAAGTTTTTAACCGAGTGAAGTTTGTGCGAGTGAACACACGCACCGACTTAAAAATTAAATAATAGATTAAAAATTTTAATCGTTGCCCAGCACTAATAAATAGGTTTAGATTTTTTTCTAAATCAGGTTCATAGTAAGGTGAGATGTGTTAAAGTGATGAGATCAGATTAAATCATTGAGAGGTCCCCTCAAGGATAGAAATATAAAGATGTACGTGTGTTCATGCTTGTGTGTGTCGGTGCAAGTCAAATGTGCTGACACTGTCAGATACACTGACGTGTTATGATTTGTCAGTGCCACTTCCAGCAACGAGGATATGCTTTGCTGTCATAACAACCAGCCTCGGGAGCCAATGAGGAATGACGACACAAGATGAGAACACCCCAGAAATGAAACGTGATTCGCTGTTTTTGACATGTGCGGTTTTGGGGAATGTGTCAGGCAGCTGGAGTGACGGGTAAGACCTGCAGGTCACTCTCCAACTGGTCTTAATACAATGATTGGCTTCAGTGGAGCAAGACCAGATAAACAGTTCCATTCAAGGAACATTACAGATACTGAATGGAAGTTTGGATGTAACTGTAGAGTTACCAGGACTTCCACAGAGCTCGGTTATGCAGGTGTCAAAGCGGGGTCCTGCTGTCTCCATGGTGACTGTGTGATGGTCCCTGAGCTACGGAGGGATAACGATGGAGTCATTTAAAATGAGAATTGTTCTGCATAATAATATTTGTGAAAATTAGCCTCATGAATACATGAGAACTAAACCATGCAAGGATGGTTGTTGTTCTATTGCCAAGACTGGTGGACATGTAAGAGCTGGATTCTGCTAATGATTTTTAATGGTGATATGTGAGAGAAAGTTTGGTAACTTGTTTAAAAGTGGCTCATCTGGTGTTTTCTTTAAATAAAAGTTTGTCAGTTACAAACTGAGAAGTAAAATTGGCTCACACGAGCTGCTTTTAATGGCGATTTTTGCAATTCTCACATTTTCATATCGTCAGGGTTAAAAGAGTACTCCACAGATATGCACTCCTCTAACATTGTCGGACTCACAATTGACAGTAAAAAAAAGATCCAATATTGCCTCAAGCAAAGATGAGGAGAGGGTTACAGAGGTTTGGTTAGCTCATCGGTGGTGTTTCCCTTTAAATATAATGTTAACACCTGTATTACAGGTATTCAAGAGTTTCCTGTGGTTCCTAAAGTTTTTTAACAGATGGCATCTCTCGATTTTCCCCTGCTGATAAGGTCTTCCAGTGAGGGACAGCTGGCTTCCTCTAGTGGCTAGCCATTAAATGAGTTTTAATTTCACTGGTTCAGGTCTGGTTTCACACTGTGTCCAGGGCTGAGATCTCCATGTCAGGATTTCTTTAAAGGTATATAAACTGCGACAAATCTTTCCATTTGTTCTGATAGTCTATTTATGCCTGCCATCCACCTGACCACTCACCTGCCTGAAAGCATGCAAGGTTACCATGACAACAGGTAATTGTTAGCTATCATCTCACCAGTCCTAGCTGCAGCATAACTGCATATTTTAGCAGGGTTTAAAAATACAAACGATATTGATGTATAGGACATGCTCTTATTTCTTCCATGGTGCCATTTTCACAATGTAGACTGTGTAATTAAAAAAGTATAAAGAAACGGCACTGTTATGCTTCAGCAAACACTTCGGTAACAGCTGTCAGAAACCTATGCGTGCAAATTTGTGAAACATAATTCTGCTATATGTTACAGTACTTACTCTACAGAAACGGTGTAGAGGTCAGGCCGGAGAGTACATGGCTCATGTCCAATAGATACCATTACTGCCTCAGCCCTCCGGCCCAGGTTCCTGCCCTGTACTGTCAGCAGGGTGCCTCCTTCCACTGGACCCCTCAGGGGGAAGATCTAACAAAGACAGAATGAAGCAATGAACAGGGAGAAAGGAAAGCCTGGGAAAACACTGTAATATGCACAATACATTAGCGCTCATAAGTAGATTACCTCCCTAAAAATGTTCCACTAATGACGGGTGATAATGAACATGACAGAGAATTTAGAGAACGGGGATGCTGTCTCTGATGCTGACATGGACCGTGGCACACAGAGAGATAAGGACAAGTGGCCCATGTAAGTGTTCTTCAGCTGAAGACTGAGATCTAACAGAATAGACACACGGTTTAGGTGTATACACACACACACACAAAGCAGACTCTTAACTGTGCCAGTCTGAGACTCTTCAGCCTCTAATCCTCTACAGAACATGCAAATAAAGAGCAGCCTAAGAGCCCCCTTCACATCCCACAAGAGACAGACAGAGTGAGAGAGAGAGGGCTGGAGAGGCGAGGTGGAGAGCACAGCAGAAAGGTGGATGAGTGGGGAGGCAATTTAGGGAACTGAGTGTCGAGAGGAGAGTGAATGCTGGTGGTAGTGAGAGAGTAAAGCCTCAAGAGGGGAATTAATGCAGATTGCTATTCCCTTTCATCTGTTTTCCTGTGTCTGCTCCGTCAAATTCCTTAGTCCAATTTCTGCTGTTGTTCAGGGGTATGGCTCTCACACATCATTTCAGCCCTCGCCTTTGGTCTCTTAACTTTCCACTCAGGAGCCGCGGAAAGAAAGGAGAGGACCGTCACCTCTCAAATCACCACGGAAACAAAGCGTCAGAGATAGCATCTCCGATGCCCAGACAGAAGCAATCTACCATCACCTTGCCACTGTAGCATGGCTAGCCCAGTTGCATCAATGCTTTCCTGAATGACCCCCCCTGTCAAAGCCGAGGTCAGTGTGACCCCTCTGCGTTATTAGCCTGGCTCCGGCGCTATCTTGAAACTCAGCCTAAGAATGAAAACAGCACTTCTGTTTGGTCTAGGTGAAAGGACAAGGTTTGGCTCTGAATTCAGATCATTTGGAGACAGCAAGAGTGACAGCGCATAAAAATAAACCATATATTTCCCAGCTAGAAGGGGGAGGCAGTTAAGTAAAGAAAGAGCATATTACTTTTAATATAGTGTGAAAACAAACTAGTGGAAACCAACCCATTACTTATGCAATTTTTATGTGTGAGCTACACCACAGGAAATGATGTAAATGTTTTTGTGGTTACTTAAAGCTTTAGAGTATTAAGTGTGACCACCCTGTGCCTACTTAGGCCACATATATATACTTCCTTCGAAGAAAACACATTCTTTCATACACAGACATGTATGCACACATACTATGGCATGGCAGTTGAACACAGAAAAGCACCCATCCTCTCTCTACAGCGAGAGTTATTTATTATCACTATGCATCTTATAGCACCCTAGTGTGTCTCTGTGGTGCCATTGAGCATTGACATCAACATCAGCTGGCATGCTGTTCATTTACACCTCTTACAAGTCTGTGAGTCTTGATTTACAGCACAAACTCTGCCAGGCCTTCAGGGAGATCACACGGTGTGAATGTGTCTCTGCGAGAAAAAAAGAAAAAAAAGAAACCTCCACAAGGAATGTTGGAGCTATTAAACTAAACTAAATTATTCCACATCCCCGTATTCAAATCCGATATATTCCAAATGTACTGCACATGCAGGTATGCAACCTGCACCAGATAAACTACCTAACTGATAAAATCCACATTTTCTTTTTGTTATTTTTTGTTCCCAATAGATCGCTTTGAGGCCAGATCTTTCATCTTCCTTTCCTCACTCCAGTTCCTCTGCATCACACTAATCACAGAGGACATGAGGACAAAAACAGGAAAAGGCTCCTCACTATACTGTACCCTTCTCCACCCTTTCTCCGTCCGAATAGGTCTCCATCCTCTCTCCCAAACTCACCCAGATCCAGATCCCTCTGTTCTCGCTTTCTTTTCATGTTGTGGATAAACTATGTTTGGCAGTTCCTGTTTTGGATGCCGAAGTACCTCTAATCAATTTTTTTGAACAGTGCACTAGCCCACACATAACATGAGAATAAAGGGCCCGCAGAGATAACAAATGTCTCCATTGTCTTACGTCACGCTATTGAACGAAGAGCATTTTTCACAATTAGGTGGCGTGTAGCAAAGTTTAGGGAATAATGAAATCCTCCTCCATATTATTGATATTTTGGTACTAGTATATTGCGACGGAGATTGTATGTGACAAAGCAGAGCAAGAAAAAACACATTTCATTGTCTTAGCCGTACACGTAGTGAAAAGGACTATATAACTAAGAACTGCTGCGGTATGCGTGTGTGTGAATGTTTAGAGAGAGCTGATCTTTTCCTCCCTAAGCTGGAATACTCGGGCTCAAACCCCTATGGATTCTCTGGGAAAACATGGCTGCCAAAGCGTTGCATCACACACCCCACATAACCACAGCCCCAGTATCATTTCTGCAACCTCCTCTCCTGAGAGAGAGAGAGAGAGAGAGAGAGAGAGAGAGAGCCTGTGTGTGTGTGTGTGTGTGTGTGTGTGTGTGTGTGTGTGTGTGAGAGAGTGAGAGAGTGAGAGAGTGAGAGAGAGAGAGAATACTGCAACAATAGTCTACCTACACATACGGCATCTCAGCCCAGCTAACTTCAGTCACGTAAGAAGTCCACTCTCACAGAGCATCCTGTTAGTCACAGTACACTGACAGCTACAAAGAATGAGGGATAATCGTGAATGCTTCAATATGGCCTATTTGTGTGACATATTGTGGGCCTGTGTGTGTGTGAGAGAGAGTGAGTGAACGTGAGTGTGTCTGCCTGCTTTGTTCTGCTCACTTATTCCCCTGGGCCGACCAGGTTTTATCTACAGGAAGTTCAGGCCGACTGGGTCTCATGTGAGCCGTGCTTCCCATGACCGCCTACTGCGGCTGTGCTGATATAATGTTCGGTAGTGGCAGAAAAAGGTTTGGAGGATGACTATAAATACTCTCCCATTAAAGTTGGACAAACAAATGAAGAGGATCATGCAAATGAGCTCCATAAACAGTTTAGAGAAAGGCCCCGCTGGTAATCACGATGACCATTTTGACGTGACCGCAGTCAGATCCTGTGTAAGATAAACACTCCTTAATTCCTTTTTACCACTGTGTTTTTGCTCTTTTTGTGGCCACAAATCTAAAATCCCTCATGGATCTTGTTTGCTTTCGTTTAGATCCTGAGGCTTTCCACACAAAGAGCCCTATACAGACACCATCCACACAATTTACACACATACTGTAGTTACACATGGTGGAAGGTGTGTCGTCCTTAGTGACTTAGCCCTTAGAGGACCGCTGTGTCCCCTACAGGGTTTGGCTAAGTGAGTGTTGGTGTTATTACTGAGTGAACTGCTTCAATGAGACACTATTCAGACACTCCCTCAGCAGCTGACACTGGACAGACAAGGAATGGGGGCACCGCAACATGTGAATGACCCCATGATTCAAGCAGAACCGAAAATAGAGCCTGATGGCTGCAGAAAGGGGGTGGGGAGCGTGGGACAATGAACGCAGACATTTGTAGCATGTTTAACTTGTGATCTTACCTTGTGGATCTCGGGAGCTGGACACTGATTCATGATCGACTGGCAGTCATCCCTCAGCTTACAGCTGTTTTCACACCAGCCACAGAGGTGACCCTGATCCTCCCGGCCCCAGCACTGGGAACAGTCCGAACTGCCCACTTTACAGTTGTACACCTCCACTAGAGGGAGATGGGATACAGGGGGAGAGACATAGAGGCAATTATTATTGTAATACAGCATCACTGAACTGTGTTTGTCTGGTTAACTTAAAGTACTGTAGATTCTTTAGTTTCTTTCATTTGACCCATATGGGCGGCATGCTTTAAATAAACAGCATAAGCATTTATAGGATGATGCATGGCTATAAATATAAATCAGGAAAAAAGAGAGAGAACAAAGCCAGCGAGAAACAGATGATTATGTTCATGTTCCAATGTGCGTCCCATGGAGAAGTCCCATTTGTATCACCGCATGTGCATCTGCGCATGAATGTGTGCATATCACAGCGTGTATGTGCCTGCGTGTGTGTGATAAAGTGTGAGTCTATTTTTTTTATTTTTTTTTATTTGATGACTCTGGATGTTATGAAGCGACCATCATGTCCGTTCACTTAATGTCTGGCAGTAACTCAGGGCTGTTGTTCAAATGGTAGACACATGGACTGTGAACAGCACATCTGGGACTGGGCTAGGCGGTGATTGGCTTGTAGCTGCACTGTAGACAACATGCCAAGTTCAAAAACACTTTTCATCACCCCATTGTTGTCATGGAGCTCAAACTGTATTTCAACAATGCATACGGACATGGCTTATAAAAGGCATTGATAACACCTTAAATTGCAGCTCACTATGTTCTATAATGATTATGTGTAATTAGACAGTAGCAGAATATGATATTATGGTAAATTACTAGTTGTTAGAAAATTATGTGTTGTAATACACCAACTACTATTATTGTAGTCTAACACTGTTTGTCCCTGTAAGCGATTCTTTATTTTTCTCCAGGTTTAATTAAATCCACCAGTCTCATCAGAAAACATTCATGCACCAGTGAAATGCATTCTGGGAGCAACAGTGTCAGATTTGTTCTTATTTTTGTGAGTCTCTAATTACGCTGCACATACAGGAGAACTTATCAAACAGCTGAAGCGCAACAGATGGAAATGGTATTTTTCATTTGTGTATTTTTATTTTATTTTTTTTACATGTTTACATAACTATGATTGCAATGTCTTACCTATCATGGGCTGAGGGCTGTCGACAAAAATATCCACCCCCGGTCCATTAGAGTATCCTCTCCTCCTCAGGTTGAGGTGATAAACCTGACTCCTCTGAGTGGTGGACAGCTGCATGGACAGAAAGGTAAAGGGCAACAATAAAACAGGTTGTGCTGTGAATGTGTGTCATTTTGTCTCCACATGTATTTACTCCGTCTTGCTGTTGATCTAGATAATAATGGGTTCTTAATCAACTTCCAAACAAGGGTTTAAAATAATTGCATTAAAAACAACTTACAAACAAGGATTACACCTAACAATAATGAGCACACTGAAACGGTAAATGTACAGTGCACTTTACACAAGCTTAACTGACCTTTATTCAGAATTACAAGTTATTTCTGGTAGGTCATTGTCTTCACTTACTGTAACTCCAGTGCACTTGACAGTCGAGCTGTTCAGCCATGTGGCCTCATATCGTGGCTCCGTCCCAAAGTCACACTCCAGCCCCTCCCCCTGTTATGCAAAGCACACATTTTAAACAATATGCAGTATTTAAAAAAAAACAAGCAAGCAACATATGATATTATGCTGTTCTCAGAACAAGATAATCACTGCTTTAGTAGCCAAAATGAGAGAACTGGAGAAAGCTTCTGCTAAGAAATTTTCTGTCAAACACGTCTGGTAACAATTGACAGCTCCGAAGGAGTACCAGGATACTGAAAAATAACCCACAATAATTGTCCCTGCCAGGAAAAGATGCAATCCATTCAAAATTCATATTCATAAACATCTGGACTCCCACACCTCGGCAAGTCATCTGAGAACTAGAGTAATGAATATGAATTTATTCTTCGGAAAATGAGTGCCCCAAGTTTAACTGAGCCAAGGTATGTGAAGGTAAGACCATAAAGGAGCTAAGATAGGAGTTAAGAGCAGTAAAGGATAAGCACTTGAAGAGGATGAAATCATTTGTGTGTGTGAATCCAGACGGCTTAAATTGGTCTACTTCCATCGCCCTCTCCACACTTTGCTATTTCTATGTGCTTTTTGACACCAGAGAAGCCTGATTTTTTTTGGCATCTGACAGGCTCTTTTTCCCACACATTGAAATGTTCCCTGGACTTATGTACACATTGAGAACTAACAGATACTGGGGGACAAACTTGCAAGCATCTGCTTGTTGTATGTTTTGGTGTGCCTGTTTATCACAGTAAAGTCCAAATAGTTTATATTAGGTTAATAAAAAGTGTGAGAACCAAACCAAAATTCACCACAAATTCCAGGAGGGTCTGAGTGACGGCGATGCTTATCCAAGAGCACAAACATGAGTGACAACATATTTCCTGCTGCTTTGACTTGCCGACAAGTCAGTTTGCCTAAACTTTCATACTAAAGAGTAGTATGAATAACCAATCACGTCCAGGCTGTCCTGAGGAAATGTGTGTGTTTGGGGGTGTATATGATTCAGTGTCTGTCACCATAGCAACACACCAGCTTGAAAGGCCAGGGTATGGCGTGTGACTGACCACGCCTGGCAACTAGTCAGCACTGGAATTTTTAGAAGATCCCAGTTGTGTCCTTATCGGTGATGCAGGATCAGCGTCTGACTCGCTCAGTGTGGATTAAGGATGAGAATAGGAGTTTAAAAAACTGATCTGGAAGGACTAACCGAATTTAAAATGAACATGAGTGAAATAAAGCTCCTGCCGCGTGTGCTTCCTCAGACTGACTGCACATTGTACACTGTGCTGACGAAGGCACAGCTCAGCTAGTCACAGCTAGATACCAGATGCATGGTGGGCCCAGACAACTGAGCAGTGAGCAACATAAGCATAAAGATACTCGCTAATTCTTCTTTTTCATATCTGTCTCACAACATGGAGATCACTCAAACTCAGGTTTTGCTCATTCATTGACCCAAATCCCAGCACACAAAGTTCCATCTGCATTTAACTCAGCTTGAAGCAAACACGCCATATGCTTATGTTTTATTCCAGTCATTTTCACAACGTGCATTTTGGACAAAGTCCAAGTCCAGCTCCATAGCTGGGGGTTGTCTGTTGTACCTCCTGGATGTTGCTGATGGATACGGTGAAGTCCTGGGCCATTCCTGATGGTGATGGAGGAACCTCTGAGGCAACCAGGCTGGGACAGGAAGCAGCGTTCTGTGGAGGAAGTGACATAAAGGAGTTAAAGAAAACAATGACTCCCCAGCACACATCCGCAACCCAAAATACCTGTCCTGTTTATCTGTAGGAGGAGGAAATGAGAGGGTAAAGTCTCGCTCTGAGGGAAACAACAATAGCTTCAAATAGCGAGACGATGAGGGATTAGAAAAACAGACCCACCGGACACTGTGATGGGCTCAGCAGAAGAGTAAAAAACCAACCTCCTCATATCCTTATGACCTACATTACAAAGACCTAATCCAGTTTTATTCATGTTTAAAAAGAACCTAACATTTAAATAACTAAAAGTAACTTGAGCCTCTTGTGCGTTAATATATTTGTTTTTGTGCGTCTTGGGATCTGAAACAGCACGCCTGACTAGGATTGTATTTGCTTAGAAAAATGATGTTTTTATCACTTCAGCTATTTCCTCTTTCAGGGGGTCTTGTGATATAAAGGCAAAGCATTCATGTTCACAGCAATAAAACACTAGACACTAGAACAAGACCAGAAGTTGACCAGAGGACTGTGAGTCATATCCTCTCCACTTTTTCTGGGACCAGAACTGTGTGTGGACACAGTCAGACCCCCTTGCCCTCAGGGCCAAAGTCTGCTGGGAGGATGCCTCCTCACACGGGCCATGGCTCGGCAATAAAGCTCCACGGGGTACAAGTATAATAAGATGGCTGACTTAGTCTTGATGTTGTCAGGAGCAAGCACAAAGGACAGTGGTATCTGGGGAGCTGTAATTGGTTTCAATGATGCTACTCTAGGTTTGGATGCATTTCCCACTTTCACAGCCTTCTCATGCGCTCATGCCAAGCCTTTTACACTATTCGGTTTGTTTGCTTTTCAGAGTAGTTAACACCCTCATGGGGCTTTATGTTGCCAAACATACAACTACATAATCCATTTGTACAATCTCATACTGTGTTACCTACCTAAAATGAAGGCGCATAGCTAAAAAGGTGTAGGTGTAGATTTATCTCTTTGCTGGGAACAAGCAGTCTTGACATTTAGTAATAATTCCCTATAAAAACAGGGACACAGTGAACCTACTCTTCCACATGCTGGGATATCAAACTAAACTGCCAACGTTAGAGGAGGTCAGAGGAGTTTTAAAATGGTACATTACCCTGTAAGGAGTCTGTAAAACCAGAACCTCCTGAGATTTTATAGCACGTTTCAACATTTCTACAGTTGAGACATTTTAAACCTCATACTGAATTGCCACATGATTGCTCTTGCCTAACCTGTCTGGACTCAGATCATTACAGCAAACTTGGAGTTGTTGGACAGAAGAGTCTGGATTGTGTCTGAGGTTCTAACTAGTGGGATCCTAATATTATGAGATTCTCCGGGCGTCTCTTTGAGTAAATGGAGTTTAAAAAAAAGGAGAGTTACCCACCTCCAGCAGGTCGTGCTTTGACTCATCTTTATTGGAGACACACAGGTGGTTCTCTTGGTCCCAGTAACACTTCCACTTGGTGCTCAGGCAGCTCACACATCTGGCATAGATAGACACATACATGGAAAGAGTCGAGAAACAAGGATCAAATTTAGCCAGATCTGAATTGTTTTAACCCCTGTATCTCCCTCTAATCTGTTCCCATGCAGTAAATACAGTCTTTATGTGGCCCAATCTTTAGTTTCAAGTGTAACACAACTGCCGGACTGATTACAGGCATCAAAGTTTAGCTTTAATAAAAGGAAGTAATGATTAGTCACAGTAGCATTCACATTCATTCCACAGTTACAACACAGCCAGCCAGGAGGTCAAACTGGGCCAAATCTGCTGAGATGAAACAAAGCACTTCTCTATAAACACTCTGCCTGGTAAATGATGATGTGTGTGTTAAGTGCTGTCTCCTGTATTTCTAGCTTTGTGTCTACCATTTATGGTTTTGTAGTCTAGTAGCACAGGTGTAGGTCCAGAAGCAGACAGTGGACTCCACACATTTCATGCAAATGTATTCAAGAAACTACGGTCTTGGAGCGGAGAACCAGGATAGGGAAGTCGGAAAGTAATGAGAGACAGACTGACGTACCTTTTCGTGGGATTGACATTAACAAAAATATAAAATATCGCCAGCCTTATCCTTTAAAGCAACAGCGTGTAACTTCAGAAAGCAGAAATAACACTATTTACTATTTTATTTTATTATATTTCAATTATACACATCCTTGCTCTATTCAATACACTTAGGGGTTTTACAGCTTCAGCCTAGTTAGTCTGGTATGACTAGTTGCGTATGGTGACTAGTGGCTTTAGAGCAAACTTTAGATAGATATTGCTTTAAGCTAAAAATTAAGCTTAGGTTAGAGGGTTGGTTCAACCAGATAACCAGCGCATTATTTTATCTAGCCATACAGATAGTCTTGGTTTTGTTTGCTGAGCTTTTGAGATATTAATCTCTGAGATTTCTGCCACCAACTCAATATAAATATATATGAAAATTTGCGTGTTGTGAGTTGGGTGATCAACATAGGTGAGAAGATTAAGGGTAGTGTTTGGGGATATGGATTATACTGTATTCATAGTTGCTGTGGATCGAGTACAAACGTGTGTTTTTCAGTTAAACATTCAATTGAACACCTCCCCTGTACAGTATGTGTGTGAGTCGAGTGTGTGTCACTGAATTACTGTATTGCCTCTGGGAAGAGACAGATGTCTCACACTAGGAATGATAGTGCCTCCAGTGATAGCAGTACTCTGGGGGGGGGTCTTTAGACTGGGGGAAGTGGAGTGGGATGGGTGTAAGGGGATGCAGGAGAGTAATCGAAACGTGTGTGTGTGTGTGTGTGTGTGTGTGTGTGTGTGTGTGTGTTCTGATTAGAAACAGACGGCCCCCTCAAGGCTCTTATCAGCTGCAGCTTTTCTGTTTTCCCTGACTCCCTTTCTGTCCTACTAAAACACCTTACACTACCACACACACACACATATACAGATTGTTCGCACAACCTCTCTCTCTGCTTGACCTAACGCTGACAGTAAATACCCTGTGACACTGCCCACTCCGAGTCATAATGACCATGCACACACACACACACACACAAACACTAAATACACAGTCAGGCTCACACTCACAGGGCCTCTCAGTGGACACAGCGGTTAAACACACATCCTCAATCATGTCTCTGTCAAAGAGAAATACATCCGGAAGAAAAGACCAGTTTCAGGGGAAGCGAAAGGAGAGGAACAGAGACAGACAAGGGAAAGGGGGAAAGAAAGACGTGCCAAAACATTAGACACAGAGAGAGACATAAAAAGCAAATTAAAAAAATAAAAAGTGCGTATGATTGTGTGTATGGTTGAGGTACATTAGAGAAAAACAGAGTGAGAGGGCACGTTAGGTGGTTGTCCACTAGGCTGTTTGGTGAGACTGGAATGCTATCGTCTGGTTGTCATTAACACTCTGCCTAGTGACCACTTTGAATGGGTCCTGGGAGAACTGTCTAAATACTCTCCCACACACACACACACACACACACACACACACACACACTCACATACACACACACACACACACACACACACACACACACACACACACACACACACACACACACACACACACAAATTTAATGTGTTAATGAATGAATTAATATCTCTTAAAGCTGAAATCCGTAACCTTCCCCTTTGTTGAGGTTTTTTCAAATTTTAAGCAAAAATAATGCTGATATTTTGCCACGGGGCCTTTTTTGCCACATTGGAAGTTGATATTTCATTCCTTATGTCAGCTCATTTCTAATATCATGATTTATTACAGTAGGACTAGTTAAAGGGGTACTCCAGCGATTTGGCCTCACACTTTCGATAATGGTAGACTTACAAGAGACACACGAAGGAAACAATATTGGTCAAAATTGAATCAGCAGAGGATGAGATGTTCAGAATTTTAGTCCATAGTGTGGGCCAAGATCCAAAAATACTGTTTCCTACGTTTTCCATAATGCAACTTAATGGTGTCTTTCTTTAGACACTTCCTGACTTGTAAAGTTTCACATCTTTTAACACAGTTAAACACTGGTAAAAATGTATAGTCTCCAGTTGAATTTGAGAAAGACCTAATGACATCACTATGACACCATCGAGGTAATTTGTCAGAGCTACAGAAAATACAAATGTTTTCACAGTGAGTAGTATTCTTTGTGACAAGAAAACTGATCGTCATGTGTGAAAGTAAAAAAGTACAAGTACCCTTTGAAATCTCTGAACTCTGTTCTGATTGGTTGGTTTGAGTATCTATGATAAAGCGCTATATAAATGTAATGCATTATAATTATTATCATTATTAAATGTCTGTCAGCTGTCATTGTGGTTCATTGTCATACTCCTTTTAATTACATGGGCTTTAGACAATTTATGTATCTATGAAAAAGTGTAATGTGAGAAAATTTGCTTTTAAAAGAGATATTGTCAATACTTCATTAAACTCGGTAGCGCTGAAATGATTACTCAATTGTTTGGTTGATTGATAGAAAATTAATCTGCATCTATTTTGATAATCGTTTATCTTTTTTTAAAGCTATGATTTCCAGTTCCAGCATCTCAATAGTGAGGATCTGCTGCTTTTCTTGGTCTTATGTGACGGCTAATCGGGTTTCCTTGTAGTTTTGGACTGGTGGCTTGACATTTTAAACCAGGAAATAACTGGTAGATGAATCGATAATGAACATAATCATTACTTCTAGCCCTAAAATTCGGTTCATTGTCCAGCCCTTTAGGAGAGCATCCAGTGGTATACTGCTGATATTATCTCACCTTGTTGTGTGCAAGGTTAACAGTTATGTAGTTGAATGAGAATATCATCCACTGACATCTTTTGAAAGATCATTTTTGCTTAAGTAATTAAATCACATACTAAAGTTGCGTGGGATGACAGCCAATATAACAATATGTTTACCATAACTTCCTTTTACAATATTTCCTTTGTGACATTGATGGTTTGTACAGACATTATTGGCATTAATGTCTAATAACCCATGCAGAGATGACATAAAACAAAAAAAGTAAGATTTTACCTTTAACATAAGAAAGGAAGTGATGGCTTTTTTCATAAAGCGCAAAACAAAGAGATTTGACTATCTAGTTTTATTGAAAAGAAGTGGCTCTTTAGGGATAATAAAAAAAAAACAGATTAAAGTGATTAAAATCCGATAGAGTATAGCAGCTCCGCAGTTTGCAGTCCAATGCTCATCCTGTGAGAATGGCACTTTGCTCATTATCACCTTCAACAAACCACCGTCTAATTTCACACTCCTGGACCTTGCCGAGCACAGAGGCCACGTGCACATATTGGGTACAGTCTTGCACACATGTACCTGCAACTGCTGTGTTCACACCTACAGGCTGTTTTCAAAAAGTGAACAAAAGGGACAGACCCAAATGATTTCAATCTCAGTGAATCAGTCAAATACACACACACACACACACATTGATGCCCCTCTAAGCCTAAGATCCGCCCATCAGATAAAGTGGATCCTCTGACATGGTCCAACATGCAAGAGGAAGCCAGCTGGTTAGCCTCCAGATATGAGAAACCCCTCTTTGTGACCAGGCCATACAAGTCGCAGTCCTTTACAAAAACAAACATCAACATGACCAGCCAGACATACATATCCAATTTCCTTTGGCTTAACGTTTACAGCATATTAATCCCACATTTGATCCTGCACTGAGAAACCTTGAGCAAGCCAAATACACACTAAGCCCCCCTTACACACTGAGGCCTAAATAGAAAGCAAGGGAAAAAACAGGAGAGGAAGAGGTTAGGGACAAAGCGGAAAGGCCTTCGAGTAGAGAAACGTAGCTGTTCTTTTAGCTTCCAGCTATATTTGCACATCTGCAATGCCATAGAGCTATAAGCATCATTTTACTGTAATAGCTGGTCAAGGCAGAGCTACTTTTAACAACTTTTTGTACAGTCAGGAAGTTTAATCCAGTGGTTTCCAATCTAGGGGCCACGCCTATCCATAGGATCCAAAGAAAAACCTGGGAGGTCATGACCTTCTCTAATCTTTGCTTTGTTGGCGAAATATTGGGAAAAAAGTTTTATCTCAGACAATTAATTAAATGAAATCCCCTTAAAAGTTAAGAGATTAAATCAGTCGGTGGAACTGCTAGCACAAGGCAAAAAAGTAGGGACCACTGGTTAGTCTTAATCTCAATCATAACTAGTAACTATAGCTGCCAGATAAACCTACAGGTGACAAATATACACATTTTTTCCATTGGAATGAAGTGGAGAATAAGTAAATAAGTTACTTAGTTACTTTCACCACTGTGTGTAAGTGAATAAAATTGGATGTAATGGATCAAAACAATGCTGTTGGCCAA